TACTTGTTGTTCAACAAAGTACAAATAAAAAATCGAACAGAAATATTCATGCTTGAAAATTATTTATAAATAAGATGTATATATCAGTAAAAGTACTATCAACACAATAAAAAAAAATCTTCACATTTAATACAAATGGTACATATGAACAGACACGTATTAAGACATGTTTTTATTGTATGGAGCTTCAGAACACAAATTATTTTAGCTTAAAGGTATCGAGTTTTAAAAAAACTCGTCGCTTAAATTTCAAGAGAGGTCTTGCAACTTTTATCTTGGACCTTTGAATGTATTAAAAAGGCTGTGATTCTAATATTAAATATCTAATCGAAATATATAACATAAAATATTATATGATGGCTAAAAGTATATTATTTTGTCAAAAATTACAAAATTAATAAAAGAAATACTATTTAAAATTGATAAATAAATAAATTGAATTTCAAAAATCATTTGTGTACTTAAATTATTATATTCTCAGTCTACTGACAAAAATTTGAAAATAACAATTCTGTTACATTTTTTTAGTATAGCTTCAAAATTGTGTTTTCCTACGGTCAAGAACAACTGTGATATTTATCAGAACGACCTTTTATTGGATATCTCATCCAATATTTTTACATTTCTCACATTCTTTATAAATTCTTCCATGATTACGGTCTTATACCGCCTTTACCATCGAACAGCCACTTTTACAATTCATTTTATTCTACAGGTAAAGTCTGACCCCATCATCCAGAATTATACCCACGATATTTTCTTTCACCATTCTCAAGCCTCATCCATCACATATCCTCACGTATTCTTGCAGCATTAAATATTACTGTGAATTTTATACGTCATTCGACTAAGCCACTACTGTTTGGTTTTATTATTATTTAATAATGATGGGCAACAATATGAGTTCATAGATGGTCATTATTTTCATTTTAGCGATATCGATATGGTGGTTTTTAAGAACGATATCATTATTCCCAAAATACAAACTAATGTATACAGCATGTGTTTAGCATTGATAATGATAATTGTTCCCGAAATATGTATCCGTGAGTTTTTAGTAAATTTTTGTGGCGCTTTGAGTTAATTTTAATTTAAAAATTTTAGGACGTTTAAGAAAGAGAAAACTCGACATTTTTGTACATTTTAAAGTGGTAACATTTACAGCTTTTATTTTAACTTTCAGATTTCATTCATAAATAATTTTAAATATTTTAATGAAATTATTCTTTTGTAAATGAGTGATACATTGTATCACTTTTTTACCATCCACTGTCAAATAAAATTTGAACATTTACAAAAATATTCTATTGAATTATGGCAATTTCATATTACGATATATCAAACCATTAAATTTCGATATTGTTATCCAGTTTTTGTCTCAATATCGATATCGTAATGAATTATTGATATTTTTGCCCAATAAATATTATATATTATGCTTAACTTTCAAAATTTACGTCCTTTTTGATCAGAAATCGAGATAAATTAATCATTTGTAACTAGTTTAAAATAAGAAAATCAAACTTATAAAGCCTGTAAAATTTATTGTGAAATAATAAGTTCCTAAAATTTAATACACAAAAAGTTTAGTACTATTTTATTTATACTTTTATTTTTTTATATATTACTATAATAATCACATTATTTTTGTTTATGCTTATATAATCAATTTAAATACAGAATAATGTAAAATCTGTGTAAATTTTAAACAACATAATTAAACAAAGTTTAACAAATTTATAATTACTAAGATATATATATATATATATATAAACATTATATTACCCTCTCCAAACGAAAAAAGTTTATATTTACCATGTAATCATTTTTACTGAGATCTCTCTCACTTCAATCCCTCCTTAAGGTACGAACTATATACAAGGTGTCTCAAATATAACTAACATCGCATACAACTTTTGATACAATTATAATTTTTTTTTAATTATTGTCTTCTTCTTACGTATACTAAGTTTAAAGCATATTTTTATTATTTATAGATAGGGTGCAGAATTATATGTATTTATAATTTATTTTAAGCTACTTTGATGAATCCCAAGCTTGTGCAATCTTATCATAGTTTTATATAATAGTATAGAAAAATGATTAGTTTTAGGGGAAAAACATCTTAATCATCTTACTACTATAGCATCAATAGCTATATCAATATGTTGCTACATATTACTAAGTTCTAAAATCAATTTATAAAATTTGTACTGGTAGATGTTATGTTCGAAATAACTTAATAAAACGTATAAATGCATATAATTCTGTGGGTAAATTTTTTTTATGACAGACAAATATTACTAATAAAAGCCAAAAAAAAAATTAAATACAGTAAAATTATTATTTTAGGAGAAATTGAATGACTAGAAATAAAAAATCACTTTATTTATAAAAGTGAACCAAAAACAATTTTTGTTTAGTCAAACAATTTTAACCCGTGCCTACTTAGGATTGAAAATTTTTACAAAATGATAGTTTTTTGTTATTTATATAAAACTTGTAAATGAACACTCACAGTAACAAACATAAAATGTAAATGGTAGATGTAAATATTTTTTTATAAATTAAGTACTTAGAAATGTTTTGTTAAATCTATCAGTTTATCAAAAAAATTACAGAGTACATAAAATTTTGTCGATTTTTTTACACTGAAATATTTACAGTTATTATATTAAATTTGACGAACATTACCAATAGATATTTCACATCAAAAAATTGTATAATTTAATTTTCTAAAAAAATGTAACAATTAAAAAGTTTATACGTTTAACTGTTTGTGAGCTGTTAACTGTTCATTAATGTTTGTAACATTAATGAACCGTACTACTCCACCCGCCTTGCTATAAAAATGCTTATAATTCTTAATATATTTGTCCAAAAGTTATTATCGACCATTAATTTTTTTAGATAATTCATTTTCTAGTTTGAAAGTTAGTTAAAATATATATTTCCATTTAAAAAACTGATGTTGATAAAATTTTAAGAGGAAAATAAGGGGCTTAGTGATTACCTAATTTCAATTCCCGAATAAAAAATTGAAAACTCGTTCAAAAAACGCAATTTTGGAAGAAAGCATCAAAAATATTTATTTCTAGGAAATATACATATATATACACAAAAAATTCAACTCGGAAAAATGGGTGTAAACCTCTCCTTCTAAAGGGGTAGTATAAAGCATTGATTTTTTTTTAAGTTTTAATTGCCCTAATAATCATATATAAATTCAATAACAAAAAAAAAAATGTTTTGAGTTTAATTATAAACTAGTTATACTTTTGAAAGACAAGTAAAAAATGTTAAACAGTGTAAAACGAGAAAGCAGTTTACATTTAATGGTTATTTCTTGTCGTAAAATTTTACAGCAAAACGTAAACTTGATAGCTGTTAAAAGGTTAAATGGAGCGTACTTAACTCACGTAAAAAAAATAGTACAAGAATTGAAATAAGATAAATGTATATTTTATCATCAAATGCTGCAAATTTACTACACTACAGAATCTAATCTACAGAGATGGTAATATTAATTTTCAATTGTAATCTATTAATAACATAAATTAAAAAATTACTAATTAGATTTTGTTTCATTCTATTCTACAGTTTTAGTTGTTTAGGAAAATTATAAAAAATTTATTATTGGCCAGTGTAACTTTTTGAATGCAGTACCTTATTTATTCTAATAATATCACAAAATATTTTGCTATTTACGATTGAAATTATCGATTTATTGTTTACAATATTTTCAAATACTTTAAATGACTATTTAAGCTGTCGTAAAAATAAAATACTTTTTTTATTTCTACCGGGGGTCTATTGTACTATTTTTCTGTTTCTTTTTTTATTTTTTTTAATTATCATTATTAACATATCTATTTATCATTATATGGTGCTTGTATTTAAATCAAAGAGAGTAGAGTTCACGAATTTTTAAATGGCACCACTTCTGGTACAATTTATAGATAATACACACATAATGTCAATTTGTATACACTTTATTATATACCATCTATGAATGGGTTTAATTTATATCCAATAGATAATTTATACTCTGCCAATATAAATGAATCAGAGATTTATATAACGTTCTAAAATACTTGATTTTAAATCAAACGATTTTTTGATTTTATATGTGCAATAACTTGACTGTGAAGTGTTATTTTTTTAGTGAATAAAATAAAAGATCAAAAAACTTACAAACTAGCAAATACGTTAAAAAAATATATATATTTTATGTGTAATAAAATTGTAAAAAAATCTTAAAACTATTCAACGAAAATACATTTTTATTAAAATTTAGTGTAATAGTATAGTATATATAGTGGCTTTGTGAAATAAGGTTCAGATTAAAAGTTTACCCTAGTCTAGCATAATCTGTAATGACGTACCTGAAGTAAATTATTAAAGTTAAAAGAAGTGGAAATTCTAACATCTACCTTAAAAACAAACACGTAATAATTGTATACCTACTCTGTTTTTTTTCTATGTGACTCTTTATAAAATAAAACAATTAAAAAAATTCTTATGTGAAATAAAAAAAGTTAGTAAAAATTACCGATTACTATTGTTCTACAGTGATTATTTTTTATTATCTCGTATAATTAAAAACATAAATAATCGATATTGATGATTGTGTTATTGTTGATAATAGTTTAGTAAAATTTTAATTCGATTATAATTTAAGTATGGGTCAATTACTAATTATTCGATTATAGTCATTATTAGACTGTTTCCTAATGTCTCCAATTAGATTATAGTCATTGATAAAGGATTTTTTGGCGGCAAAGATTGATAACAAATAACGAATGTTTCAAAAATCTTGAAAACAGCTGTTTTGTATTCAAAATTTGTGCAAAATACGGTCCATTGACAATAAGTCGACTGAAACACCGATAACGACAAAATAAGTCTGTTAAATTTGCCGACCGGGTGTTGTGGCATTACTGAAACGGCGGCAATGGTGAGCCGGTTGGTCCCCCGCATGGTCCTTCATGCTCGGCAATAGCATACCGGCAGTGTGTTTTGAACGACTACGAGACGATAGTTCGCTCGAAAACACAGTGCTTGGTTGTACTGTGTCGTCTCTTTTTAAACGACGTGACCGAATACCGCGAATCGTGTTCGTTGTTAATTTTTCTGTGCATAAATGTGTGTGTTTGAGTGAACCCTTGTTAAATTATACGTTTGTGTTTAAGAGCTGTAAGGATATTTATACGGTCGCTGAAAACTGTTTGTATTGCAAGTAAGTTCATTTAAAATATTATGGCAAAGGTTACCTAGGTTTATCTATTTATATTTCTTTTTCGAATAATTTTAAGAAATTACAATAGCATACTATTAAATTACTAATAACTAATTTTTTTTTGGCACATTGTAATATACAATGACATTGATATTTATAATTTGATAATAGTAATTTCATTTTCAATATACTACGGTTAATTTTACAGTATTATATATATTTATAATTATCCGTTTGTAATTAGTACCAGACGGTGCTAATCAAGTAATTCGGACAGCCTTGTGTTAATCATCAGTTATTCAGAATATATTTAAATGCTATGAAATGTATAGAATATTTAAATTTTTATATCATTCAATTTTCAATTTTAACGACTCTTCGATATGCAAAGGTACTAAACAAAACGAACACCTGTCAGATGTGTTAATAAATGGCGTCGTTGTAATGTATTTAGGGGAGAAAACAAAAATATAAAATTCTAACAGCTGTAATCGAAACTGAGAACTCCTCTTATTAAACAAACCCACGTTATACAGGTACAAAAAACATAACTGTAGATACCTAAATAGTAAACACGTTCGACGTTCACCAGAATCAAGCGATAAGCCTCTTATGCTATCTTAAAATAACAAAAATAATTTTAAAAATAATCAGTATTTCACCAGATGATTCATATTATGATTGTTTTCAATAATTTTATAAAAAAATTGATCTTTGAAGTTCGAGTAACTTAATTTAATTAATTTAATTTAAATTAATTCAGAATCTAAAAAACTATTTACAAGAGTGATTCAATAATTATGCCTCACTTAATATCTAAAAAAATATAAAACTGCTAATATCTTTTTAAGTGCTGGTACCAAAGTTGTTATCGTAGTTGTTGTGTTCTTATTTAGATCATAAAATAAACATTTGTAAATCAGAAAAAAATATTTTATATCATATTTTCATAAAATTACTACAAAAAAAAGTTTATGAGCATAAAAAATCGGTTTTCAACTCAATATTGAACGAAACATTACGTCAATAATCCAATCTTTATTATTATTTAATATTTCAATCCCGGAAGTACTTTTCAATTTTTTTGATTACAAGTTTTATATGGTTAGTTTGAAAACTAAATAAAGTAGACTTGAAATAAAATTTCTGCGGCGGATCTACAACAAATATAATACATTTTTCAAAAATATTGATGAAAATTATAATATTTTTGTGAGCCAATTAGTATTAATTTATACTTGTACTTTTTATCTGTAAATTAAATCAATTTTTTTTTTAGTTACTTAAACAATTTACACATCCGATTCTCACAAATTTTCCTAACTACTATTTATCAGCCATAGTTTCGAATATTATAAATTATTATTAGTCACATATCAGTAAGAACGGGCTCAAAATATCATTCTTAACAATCTACGATCTAGTTTATTGATTTTATTGTATACATCTCAAATTTTACCATAAAAAAACACGGAAACTATTGTCATTAAAATAGTGTTCTAGAACTGTAGTTAGATTATAGAAGTCATAGATATTTTATTGTTCGAAACCATTCTGTCGTACTGATCATGAAGTATTTTATAAGTTATTTTATTTAGGTAACTCATTCAAAAACCTTCAATTGCGTTTTTAAGGCTTCATTGTATATTTACTTCATATATTAATGTCCTTGGATGGTTTTTGGTTAAGAATAATACTTAACTAAGTAAAATATGTTTAAAAAAATTGATATTAATATTAAAACTTTAAGTGAAGAATATTTTTGTCTCGTAACTTTCTATGTAAAATGTAATGCCATATTATTTATACCTATGAAGGAATAAAGTTTATAGAAATCTATATTGTGGTTATTAATAAACGCCATTAAAAGGATTTAATAATATAGTGTTATACTAGAAAGAAAGACTAATATTAATACCTATAATATATAATATTAAATCTACAATTTTAATATGATTGTTTAAATAAATAAATACATTCCATTAACTATACAATATTTAGATTATAAAAGATACTATAAATATCATAAACGTTTTCGCTTTGAGTTTACTATGTCCAAAATGAGTCAGTTGCGTGACTTCAACCTATGCTTGGTTCTCATAGACTATGAACCTTACTGAAAAATTGAAATGTGTGTTGTTGGTGAAATGTTAGGTGTAATCATTTTATTGATATTTTTGGAAACCCTTTATGTACATACTTAAACTAATTGAACTACTTATTAATCACTAATATAAAATTCTATCAAATTTAACGTGTCTGCTGTAGAAAAATAAATTAAACAATCCAAGATATAATTGAAATTTGTATTTGGTCATATTTTTTGTAATATTTTAAGTATCATTGACAATAGGCATACAACATTCGGTTAAGGCGTGAGAACTATCGTCTTTTGGATGACAACTAAATATTTCTACTAATAACATCTCTCTAATAAAAGGTTGTGAATGTTGAGTTTAGGGGTTGAAAAATAATGCGATTTCACATGTTATAGATATTGACGTCCATACGTGTGAAAAGAGATTTTGCGTGAAGGGTCTCAGAACAATGCTTCTGTGTTTTTGAATAAACGAAAAAAAATCAAATTACATTTTGATTTTTATCTCGTAAAAATGTTTCTAAGGTAAGAAAAACATTTTATCATGACATATTTGTTAAATACCTTTCAATAAACATGATATTATCTCAAACAAATTTAAGAATAAAACTTAATATTTCATTGATGTTTCCTAAATAATAAAATATAAAAAATCAGTTGCTTAAAATATTTTTTATTCTATGAATTTCATTTTTTTCTTCATGAAAGTACTTGTTTGTATCTATAATCAATATTCCCATTCTGTCAGTGTCTTGTTCAAAAAATGTGCACTTTATTGTATTGATTATGTATGTGGGTTGAATATATCTTTTACATAAAGTAAGTGGTATCACATTTATGTTGTATATTTAAATATAATCCAAATAAGCCAAATGTACCAAATCAGATTTGTATATGTAAAGGAAAGTAGTTGGCGGTGGTTGAGTACTTGTTGACTAAAATAGATATGTATAGGATTTTATAAGCTTATCATATAACTGTAAAATATCTAGACTTAACTTTAAATTTGTAACCGATTATATGCATTGTTAACTGAATTCTTACACTTATTTTAATTTACAAAATGTATTCATTGATTAGAAAATATTAGCGCTGATGTGAAACCTCAAAAGTAAAATTGGACTTACTAAATCTGTCATTGAATGCCTAGTAAAAATATAAATTAAAATTGAGATGAATTAATAAATTTTTCAGTGACACGTGTATTACGAGCAATATTATATTCATAATTATGAATTGTTGATTTTTTGATGGAAGAAAAATAATAATTATTATTATTTACATTTTAAATTTATTTTACAAAAATTAATTAAAATATGTTGTAATTATTGATTTAAATTAATAAACACAAATATTTGATACACTCATATAATATTTTTGTCCACATTTTCTTCTTAAATATTTATATTATTTTTTTTATTATCTATGTTTTGAAAATTCATCATGTCTATAATAACCCATATTTAATTGATTTATGTTAATAATATCATATATAATTGTTTTTATAATTAATTAATATATTACATATTTAATTTAGAAGAACAAAAATATACTTTTGATGACCTCAATCAAGGCTTTGAAATATTATTAAGTAAGTTTGCCTTTTTTAAAAATAACACAGTCTACTTATTTGCTTGTTAAGGTATATTATGTTATATTATTATTAGGTATGCACCAATAAATAAATTTATTATAAATTCATATTCCCTACTTGAAACATAATTACGATTGATACAAGATAAATCTATTTAGAATCATATTTAACTTAATGTTGAGAATTTTTACACACAGTGATTTACATTAAGTCAATGACACAACAAAAGCTTGAATAATACACGAATAGCGAAATATGCTCCATTCGTAATAATAAAAATAATAATTCAATAATTGAAGCAGTTCATTTTTAAATTGTACGACATTTATGGTCGTTGTTTTTTATTTCCTGGTTATTACATTTTACCAGTTGGCTGTTGAGTAGCCATTGTAATTCACAACGGAAAAAACTTAAATAAAATATTACATTTGTCGAAATCAAGGTACTCAAAGAACCATTAATTATTAAAATTAGTTAAAGATTCATTTTGGTTTTTTTATTTGTATATAAGAGAAGAACTAAATAAATTGATCAATTAATTAGAATATATTTGCATTTAATGCACTTTTATTTTCTCAAATACCCCCCTACAAACGTAAAAATTACTCAAATTACTTATATTTTCAAAGATATTGGCTTCTATCATTAATATTAGTTTCCGTAATATATTTCTTTTATTCCTTATAGTTGTTTTAGTTTTTAGATAACTGGATAAGAACTGCTCATGCAATCAGACCTGTAAGTCCATTTTGCGTCCTCTTATCAAATTTTATTAATTCGGTTTTTTCACATAAGTGTTTCCACTGAAGTATTGTTGTCATTCCTTATGGAAACTTAAATTTCAATTTCCAAATCTTTGCTCAAGGCTTTGTATTTGCTGTTTGTTAGCTTAAGTTTAAAGAGGCACCAAATTCTAGTCTTGTGAATATACCCCTATTATTCAAAATAAAGAAACTTTTTAATTTATTACTCTACTTTTAATTAATGGTATATTTACACTTATTATGCAGAATCAATAAAAAAACAGATTCATAATATAAATATAATCGTATAGTGTGTTTATCTTATAAAATCAAACACTTTTTTATTTTCTTTCCTCATTTCTGTGTACTTTGTTATTTCTACCTTGAGAGCACACGTATTTATTATTGTATTACATAATGCAGTTCATAAACGCAAGTTGACCACTTTCATATATGTACCGTGTCAGATTTCTTAGGTTTTATTCATTTTGGCTTTTATCAGAATTACCAGATTTTGAGCACGTTTGACGTTCATTCCTTTGTCATTTTTCAGTTAACTCAATGCAGCATACCAGTGGAAATATTTTCTTTCTTATGCTTTACGAATTCAAAATATTTTTTACCTGTTTATAATTTTCCGAGTTCTGTTTATTGTTTTGAAATAAACTTTGTGTAGACCCGATTAATAAACCCTTACTTGAAGTAGTGACCGACAGTTATGTTTGGCGAATGTCGTCCATAGAAATGTTTAAATTAATTTTTTCTTTATTGCTTTTCTCATACGACCATTTGTAAATTCTCTGTTGAACTGAATAGTATAAAATCTATATTTGTTCGTGTTTACGCCTCAAAGATCGGTGCATGTCGCTGACAATCGAGCTGTTGGTTTAATCCAAACGGCTCGACAGATGGTTTAAATTCGCATCCATTCTTATGCATCGTCCGGGTTTGTAATATTAGATGTTCAATCAAACGATTTCTACTGAATTCAACTAAGACGGGAAAGGTAAAAGGGTGGCTAGTGAAACTCCAGGAAAAAACGCAGAACTGGCTAGATTTACACTATCGTTTTGTGATTGCTAGTGATTAAGTAAAAAAAGATACGATCACGTTTTTAACAGATTTTTACCAAAAGCCGATAAGATACTTTTTCTCAGTGAGTTAAGCTCTCTATTTTTCTATTCTTATCCTTATCCACGTACAGTATATTTTTATAGGTGTACATTTAGAAATTGCGAGACTAAAAAACTTTACTCTATATAATACAGGATATCACGCCTCGGGTGTATTATCGAAGTCAAATCAATTTTTACTCTTTCAGGAGAAAAAAAATCTAAAAAGATTGGATTGGAAAGCCATCGGTAAAGCTTTAAAGAAACTTGACCCAAATCAAATTGAAATAAAAATCGTTTATAAATATAGTAGTTTGTTAATGTAAAAACTTTTTATCGATTTAACTACAAGTGTTCTTATTTTAAACCATAATTATTACAGTGTAAGCATTGAAAAATCCAGTTAACTTTTTATAGATGCCTTATGGCTACTATTACAAACAACTCAAAATTAAATTAAAATGTAATTTTAAGATGAAATGATTGTTTTTGTTGTAGTTTTTTAAAATATCGCTAATTCAAAAGATACTTTACATACTATAGATTTAATATTTTTAATTTATCAATAGAAAGTATTTAAAATAAACATAGTTTGTACTATCATGGTTATACCAATGTATGATATGTTGAGAAAATATAATGGCCATTTTTATTTTTTTTTGTGCTTTTATCGGCTCATTTAAGAGTCATTTAATAGAAGCCTCTCCCTAAAGAGGAGGTTTTCTTAACTATTTATACTCCAGGACGGGTGGTTAGTCCGTCACCGAGAGAGGAGGATGGCGACTCCAACTACCTAACAGATCATTCGGCAAATGAAGCCGCCCGTGACCGAGTTTCGAACCCGAAGCAGTGCGCGTAAAGCTCTACCGCGTTACCGACTTAGACACGCCGTCCTCATCATTTTCATGGCTACAAAAAATTTTATTGAATTTTCGATAATTTTCAATTTCAATTTACGATGTCAGTTGATGTAATGTTTACAAGATTCCCATCGGTAGAGTTCCAGTGACTATAAACTTAAGTTTTAAATTAAATTCGACGAAAATCCTTGTGATTTTGCAGCTGTATCAAAAAATTTTACACCCGACTGTAAATTGTCTTTGTGATATGCAAAAATATCCTTAACTTCCATTCAAAACTTATGCAATAATTCACCATAACAAGAAAACGGCATTTGCAAAGTTTTAACTATTACTTAAGTCGGTGTTTCGTCGCGATAATAGGAGATTATTTCAAAACCTCGAATTTCATTTTTTCTTTTTGCGTATTAGTACCTAAAAATGTTACAAACTTGTTGGTATAAGATAAGGCGTTATTGCTTCTGAGTTTGATCCGTATGTTAATCGAAAGAAGGATCAACAATTTTATCTTTAATTTGAAAAAGTGTTGAAATTTAAAACTAAGTTACAGAATACGTATGGCTTTTAATATATAAAATAAAAGTGACTTTTTTTCTTAGGTCCTGGATTAATAGTGTAACTTAAAGTGTTGAAAATATATGATATGTGAGTACTAAGGTAATTGTAAATGTATTTTTTTAGATAAATGCACAAATTTCAAACTTACATCTAATATAATAGCAACACATAAAAAGACCAGAACTTTTTAATCTAAAATAAAATCTACTTAATATTTTAAGAGAAAAATATATTTACTGTTAACCCATTCGTTTATATTTACTCCACTTCGCCCTAATAATAAAAACCAATTTAAATTTGTGTTACGTGACAAAATTAAACTAATAAATATTAATTAATTGTAGTTAATTAATTATTATATTAATTGCATGTTTATTATTGCAATACTCTTAATATTTTTCTTTGTGATAATATGTTTGTAGCAAACATATTATTTTTTCCTAGTTGTAGCAACTAGGTAAATAAATTAATTTTACCGTCATTCTCAAGTGATTAATATATTTAAGATTTATATAGATCATTGATAACAAATAAAATAATTAAATTACTCGCAAATTGTGCAGAAATATTTATAATTATTTATGTTTTATAATTACTTAATTATTCTATTGAATTTGGTAAAAGTTTCCTTTATAAATTTTTAGGTAATACTTTTTATCTTTTTTTTTTTTTTCATAGTAATAGATTCTATATTGGACATTCATATTTGCTCTTGTAAATAGAAATAATATGTTATTAAATGCTTCCGATAGTGGTAAAATGCTAATAAATTTAAATGAAGGAATTTCTCCTGGATGATTTATTGAAAAATTATTTATATATACGTAAACTAATTTATATGAAAATTAACAATTACTTTAAAATTTTCTTAGTTATCTTATTTTAATTAGAATAACTTTAATCTTGAACTATCAAGAGAATCGATTTCTCACTTGTAGATAACTTTTATGAAGTTTATACGTAAACTAAAAATTTGTTAAAGAAATATAATTTTGATAGAACACACACTGCAGATGACAAGTAGTTTCGAAAGCGTATGTTAACCATGTAGGTTTTATCTAATATATTGATTTGGCTTTACCTTTGGCACACGATTTTCACTCCTAAATTTTCATAACGTTGTTAAACATTCATGATATTTCGTTGGTTCAAATCTAAAATGTATATTAAATTATTTGGTTGCTGTTACGAAGATGTGTTTGGTTCATTCGCAGTGACAATCGGTCATTTTGAGATTTTATTCCTGTTTTTCAAGTTGTCATTATAATGAAAAGTATATTATTCTAAGTGTTAAACGATAATTTAATTCATTTTAATATTCGTTATTATTTTGTTTTATGTAGTGCTTGAACTAAAATAGATTCAATAATAAAATAAAATTGTTGTGTTAATTACGCGTTTTTATAACATTAAATGCTAATGTTTTACGACAATTAAAATAAATTGTTTTAGTGACAAAAATCACATATTACAAAATAACCCTATTCCAATAAATGATTCAGTCGAGAATCCTACTGGAATATTTTTGATTTTATTTAATTATTTTTCAATAGAAAATATTTCTTGCATTGTTTTACATTTTTAAAAACATTTGCCCATTTCACGTTTGTGTGTTTCACTGTTCGCGCCGTGACATAATATACAACAAATTAAACTGATGGCGTAAAATGCAAAATAACCGCCATGTTGCTCGAGCTTGTCCTCCGTAAATACATTCAAAAGACGCGTCATGCTTGAAGGTACTCGTATTAATTATATCATAATGCAACAACGAGGTGCTTAGCTGTACGATAGCATCGCGGTCGGGGACCCTATTTTAGGCAAAAAGCCCACGTCGAAACCAAAGGCACACGCACTTAAACCCATGTACTGAGCAACAATTTCACGGAATTTCTCCTAATTTAAACGATTTTCGAGGTCGTTGCGCACATGTATGTTCATACAAAAGCGGCAAATCCCGGCGTCAGTGTCTAAAGGCCCGAGAGAGGTCTGTTTAAACGCGAATAGCCATAGAGAATGAGGGGGGGGGGTAACAGTCGTAAATCCCCCGTAGAAGTATTATCACTGCAGCCTACATTAGTGACATACTCAATGATATTGCGCTATGGTCACCGGATTCGAGTCCGAGTGGTGGTACCGCGTTGAAAAATTACACAGTTTATTATTATTTTTTCCATTAAATTTCACTAACAGATTGACGCCCATAGGGATGTTTGTCGTCGCCACGTTCCCTCGTTAATGTCTCTTACACTCCACAACTTTTTGGGTAATGAAATACGGTAATAATAATTCTAGGACACTTTTTAACAATCGCAATGCCAGTGACTGAATGGTCAATATGTTAAAATCCTTTGACAAGACGAGTAGTTGAATACTACAAAATTTTGTTTGACACGTTTCAGAGCTTGCGTAGCCACCAGACTGTAAAGGTACACAGCGAGTTTATCCTATTAAGCAGATTCAAATTGTTTAACTCTCGTTCAATTCCTATTACCATTGCATTTATTTCTTTCCTTTTGGATACTTTATTAAGAACTTTTAATTTTATTAACGTTTTTTCCTTTGTCCGTTTTTGTATTAATTATTGTAATAATTATATTCTATAAACTTAACGTCGTGTATTGTTAAGCAAATAATGTTTATTTGTCTATTGTAAATTTTAATTGTCCAATACTTATTAGAAACTTAAAAAAAAATTTAATTATTAATTTTCTTTTAACAATTTGTAATTTCACAACAACCTGACTCATAATTTTATAATATGTAATTTACGCCGACATGTAATTCCATTAAAATACAAGGGTATCTAACAAAAATTAAATTAAGAAAAATGTTGTTTATTTTTTCATCATTTATACATAGCTATTTTCTCGGAACTTCGATTATTTTTAATTCTCTAACTGCATTATAATGAAACAATTTCCTGGTATTGTATATGATCAACTTGATTATGTCTGAAATTTATGTATACATTTGTATAACTATGTCGTAGTGCAATATTATGAATTTCACTTAGTACATGACCTACTAGGAACTCAAAATGGAAATTGTCTTTGTACCGCAAAGTGAACTTATTAATATATAATTACTAACTAATAAATATGTTTGATGTTAACGTTATACTCTTAAAAAAAAAATGGACTGTAAATAAATAACTATTTGAGTATTGTAGTATTATATTTTAGAAACACCTCCCGACATTTAAAATTCATAAATTTATGTTTACGCAAAATAAATGTATGTATACAGAGTGTATATTCTACACCATGTTTTTACATCTTTAATAACAAGATTGATGGATCTTTTGATCCTGCGAATATTTTGCGCTACTTTTTTTAAAAATAATTTTTTAAATTTTGGACTAGGATAAAAATATATTTATTTTTAATGACAAAAATAAAAATAAATTAAAAATTTATTTATTTGCAGTTTTGGATACAGCGTGTTTCATATCCATTCTATGTACTAAATGCTTGTTACTCGATGAGTACTTGTTCTAAAGTTGTGCACGACCCATGAATCATTTTTGTAAAAAAAAAAGAGCTAAATATGGCTATTTTTAAATTTTATAAAAAATTAAAAAAATACATTTATATTTTTGTCTTAAGGTGATATATAATATAAAATATGCTTTAAACGTAGCCTAATAAGGCAGTAACTATTTTTAAAAAAATGATAATTGCCTAAAAAGTTATAAGCGTTATCAGTTAGGTTTGATACACTCGTATATACAGAGTAGCATATATATATATATATATATATATATATATATATATATATTATTTATTTATTTATATTTACATATAAATTGTATTTTTGAGGTCAAATATTAATATTAATAATAAATGTTTTATAGGTCTATATTTAATTAATTGCTGCACGAGGGTATTTTAATCAATTCAGTAAGTATTTCCTTGAATTTTATTTCAATCAATTATAGTTATAACTACAATAATTTGTTATTTCAAACAATCAATAAATGTTTTTCTTTATTTTCATATTATACAAATATAAACATAGAATGTTTAATTGCCATAATGAGATATTTGATATTTTAGTTTTACATTAATTTAAAATATAATCTAATTTAAAATAAAAAGTAAATAATGGTTATTTTTTCATTATTTGTAGCTTTTGGAAAAATTTTAAAATATTATAAATTACATTATCAAATATATGCATAAATGATTTACACAAAAATTATTCTAATTTAGCTTATTTTGTTAGCCATTATTATTGATAAATAAATTCCCGTTATAATTTTTTGGGTTAATGTAGTAGTTTTTCGTTTTTAAGCTACTCTAAATTTAGTAGAATAATAAAATATATTCAAATTTCAATGAAATAAATTACCATATTTGGTCATTTATATTATTATGTATTATAATATGTATATTCTTAAAAAACAGTCATGATTTCATTCTTTTAAGAATGTATACTATTGTTTTTTTTTTCAATTTCTCAGAATTAAATAAATATTTGAACTTTTATTACATTTATAACGTAATTAATTTTTTGTTAATAGAAAAAATGTTGGCTATGTGTCTACTTAATGCAATAATTTCTTAAAATTCATTTTTTTTTGCAGTACAAAGAAAATGAACTTCAACTTATTATAATCATTTATTAATTCTGTGTACCACTTAACACAACATGCTTTATTCAAATCCACCTCAAAAGTGAATCGTCAACTACCTTTTATAAAATTTGTTTTAGACCACATCTGTATTATCTGAGCAGCTCTTGCCCATTATGTAGTATTATAAACAAATGGATATTATCCTTTTTCACTTGGATATATTATTTACGTTTTACCTATTTGACCCTCCCCTCGTGATTTATCAATATTTCTCCTCGTTGGATACGAACGTGGGTCGTTAGCGGAGTTTACGTGATTTCATTTCCGTCCGAAATCCTAACGCATACGCATTCCCCGCGTAATAGTCACTACCGCAACCTTATTGCGATATACACACAAGTCTAGTGTTTACTTGTGTTTATTTGTTGTATTTAGGTGTATACATTTTGTAACAGTAAATAATCATTTTAGACCGGCGGTGGCGAATAACTTGTGATAAAATAAACGTAGAAGGTCAATAGTTAATATACTTCACGGATGGTATCAGAAGATAACCAGTTTTAACATTGATATATCTTATTAAATGTCATACTTTTTGGTGTTAACATGAGTTCAATAAGATAAATACACTTATTCTACGCTATACCTACATGAACTCTTTGGCATAAATAAATCATATGTACAATTTAAATAGTTTGTTTGTGTATTTTAAGATGTATTTGATCTCTTTAGATTTCTCGTTTTACTAGTAATTAATCTATAATGTTCACATGCCACAAGTCAACTTGAAACATAAACATGATATGCACATTATGTGCTCCGTTTACGGTAGATGAAACCTCGGTTTCTTGTTGTAAACTGATAACACTAGACATTCTGCAATCTCTATCTGGGTCAAAGAAAATTCACACTTTAATTTATTAAGTAACTATTACATTTTGTGCTTTAAACGCGTTGAGGTTGGATGAAATATTATAATCCATTGCCGTTTAAACTGTCGTTGTCGTCATTAGGAACCCAGAGAATTATCTCAGGAAATTCTCTTTGACACGTATTATTATTATTATTATTATACAGTCGATGATAACTAAATGACCGCTTAACCTGTGCCAATGTTGAAATATAAGTAATAGTGGATACTTTAAAGTCTAGAACGTGCACCGTGTTCTATGTTAATTGTAAACTAAATTCAAAAATGTTATGATCTTGCCAAAATTTGTTTTATTGAATTCTCTTATTTTAAAGCTTCTATTTCAACTACGAAATCTATAATTATTATATTATCTATTGGTTTTCTATCCATCCAATAAAGACCTCTTTCATCTTTTCCTCGCGTTAATCCCAACTCCTTGGAATCGGCGAATCCAACAGAGACCTACTATGTATAATTGTTTATTGTATTTATTTTAATGTTGATTATTTTTAGATTTCATTTCATAAACTATTAATATTAATCATTTTTTAAAAAGGCTAATTTAGAATTATAATTGGAAGTTTGCTACATTTTGAAATTGTTGTCCAAAATATGATAAATAAATAACAATTAAATGGTTTTTAATAGTGTAAGCTAATGATTTTGGCTTATTTATAATATAGAATGCGTTTGTCGTAGTATTCACCTGGAAAATATTATTTTACGTTGCATTTATTTTTTAGTAACGAAATTTCACTATAGAAATGAAAATCAAACAAGAATATAATTTTAGTCCAAACTTATAAAGTACAAACACGTTTTAAATACAAGGAAGGTATCAGAGTTTCAAGAACATTAATTTAATTTTTCTACCAAATTTTCAATTCAAGGCAGCAATTGACTTACTTTGTTACTACACTCCAGACTTTTATAATCCGCTATACAAGTTACCAAACGATTATAACAAAACTATCGAATCGTTTACTATAAACATGCAAATGTTCCTTCGTTGATAATAAATTGACATATATTTAGGTTAGCGTGTTACAAAATAAACATCTTAGAGTCAAATATTATAGAAAAACCAAATGATATTAAACTGAAATTTTATTGTGATTCATTGAGTGGAAATGTCAATTTATCAACTATTGAGCAATTGAATGTTTTTTTAAAAAAAAAAAGTATATTCATTATAGCACCCATTAAAAAAGTACATTGTGTATTTCAAATCAGTATAACTAATTATTTTATCTGGTTTACTGCATTATCGTTTATTGATCAATCAAAATTGTAAGGTTATAACAATCATAATTAGAACATGACTATAGTATTGATAGCTAAAAGAGTTTATATTTACTTTAATGATTTTAAAAACCTAGGATATCAAATTACAAAAACATACCACTAGGACGAATGAAACAAACGGAGCTGTGTTTTCGTATTTAATATCTCTCTCGTTGATATAACAATATAATTTATCAATATATCTCTCTAATATCAATAAGAATATTTTTAAATACTATAATCTAAATGATAAAATATAATGTATATTATATTTTATCAAGTACGTATTAATATTTTCTAATGTAATTTATATTATATACAATATTAGACCCCAGTCAGCACTTTTAGTCACTAACGCCGACTAAAAATGAGGTATATTTAGTAAATATTTTTGATTTCCATAAACAGTTCTTAGAAAAAGTGCCACTGGAACATGATTTATAACAATCAAAATCCTAATGCCTAATTCTATAGTTGTATAAAATCCAAACAAAAACATCTCTGCAATACGTGTTAGCAATATTAGCAGATCATGTAAAGTCATATCAACGACCGTATTAACTCGTACTGCTAAACGTGACCATCATAATATATACATTTTTTTTAAACACAAACTCTATATAGGATTTTTTACATTTCTGTATTTTTATGCTAATATACAATTGTCGATAGGACCATTGCAAAGCTTATTATACGATGGGTGGTCGTAAGCATGCGAACCATTATATATAAAAATAATCATAATAATAACAGCAAAAACATACTTGGCAGGCAAAGACTAAATGGAAACATAAGTCATAAAACTACACAATTCAATTAACACTTGTATACGCCGAAAACGCTAACAGGGGCTATCGTTGTGACATCAAACATGTGTAAACCTAGAGATATTTGTTTCACTCTTATGAAAATCGATTATCTGGGAGTTGAGAAACAAAGTGAAATTTGTTAGATTCAATAAATCCAATTACTGTTGATAAATTGTCCCCTATAGGTTTTCTTTCTCTGCAACATTTACTGCAGTAGAATGTATTAATATTCTAGTAGTTTTTATTTACGTCCATAAAACCAAGACGATGACTACATGCCCCTCCTAATATGAATACCCTCAAAAGTTAAGATGAGTCATAGAGTATACTGCAATGGTGTTTTCTGACTGAATGTGTATGTTGTTTAGTATTTCAAGAGTGGGGATATAATACAATGAGGTTCTTTGGCTACCGATTTCTTGGGTTGCTTCGACGCGTTCTCATGTACCTCGATTGTGACTTCTCATGCAATGGTTTTTCACAAGGGTCACAGGAACAAACCAATAAACCAACGGACCCCTAACTTTCAATAGTATTATACTACTGTTGTGAAACGAAACAACTTTGAAGATTTTTTTATAGTTGGTAAACTAATCCCTAATCTGCTACTACAATACGATAGTTAATTAGCTAGTTTATATTATTTCTTCCAACTGAAGAAATTTGACTATAATTATATAATAATTAACTCAATATGCTAAGAATTTTTTTTTTTATACACTTCCAAATTGAATGACAGTCGAAACTTATTTTAAATATTCATTACATTTTGTTATTAGATTAACTAGTATTTATTATTGAACATCATATACGTTATCTATATTAGTCAAATGATGTCTACTACACATCATAAGAAAATTAATTTTCTAATTAATTATGCAAATAATACGAAAGGTATACGGAAAAACAAAGCAAGTCATTTTTTGTAAACTGAGAAAATTAAATTTTTAATTTTAAAACGCCATGTTATTATACATTAAACCATAACTTTCGATGACTATTACTTTTGAATAATCTACTTTTTCCACTAGTTTGACAGCTTAAAAGATAAATTGTGACATATCGAATATTTTGTCACCAAAATCTCAATTTTTAAGACAATCTACTTACCTTGTTTTATATATGTGCCATTCATATATGAAGTACAATGTATTGAACTGCTCAAAATCCAAAATTTCTCAGTTTTGTTGAGACATTAATTATAGTAATTATTATTCTTTTTAAACTTTAGAATCGAAATTAAAATGTTATCTAAAAATATTTTTATGAATTTAATCCTATAAAATTGTTATACCTGTACAGTTCTAGTACCCTTAA